GTGTACGTACACCTCGTCCAGCCTAGTGCCTCTTTTATTTTTATTACTTTTCCACTTTTATCATTTATTTATTTATTTATTTATTTATTTCTATTTGTTTGCCTCCTTCGTTTGCGAACAAAGTTGAACTCCGCTGCTGCGTAGTGCCGCAGACAAACAGATTCAGGTGTACGTACACCTCAGATCGAGGTGCACGTACACCTCAAATTCAGGTGTACGTACACCGCAAATTCAGTTGAGGTGTAGCGACACCTCAAGTTCAGCTGTACTTAACGCCCCAAACTCAGCTCCACAAACACCCAAAGTTCAGCTGTACTTCAGCCTAAATCTGAGGTGTACGTACATCTCAAAGTCAGGTGTACTTCAGCCTAAGTCTGAGGTGTACGTACACCTCAAAGTCAGCTGTGCTTCAGCCTAAATCTGAGGTGTACGTACACCTCATTCAGGTGTACTTCAGCCTAAATCTGAGGTGTACGTACACCTCAAAGTCAGGTGTACTTCAGCCTAAGTCTGAGGTGTACGTACACCTCATTCAGGTGTACTTTAGCCTAAATCTGAGGTGTACGTACACCTCAGTTCAGGTGTACTTCAGCCTAAATCTGAGGTGTACGTACACCTCAAGTTCAGGTGTACCTGCACCTAAATCTGAGGTGTACATACACCTGAGTGCCTGGAGGCGGATATGCATGCGCTACTCAGGTGTACTGAAGTGTAAGAAGTATTTTTGCAAAATAATTTTCTCACTTTTAATTTAAAGTAAATTCAGAAATGCATTTAAGTGCAATTGCATCCAGATCCATTATATATACATATATACATATATATATATATATATATATATATATATATATATATATAAAATATATGTATATGATTATTTTAAAAAAAAAAATATATATATATATATGTGTGTATGTGTATGTATATGTATAATTGTATATATATAATATAAATATATATGATAATATATATATATTATTAAATATATATATATATACATTATATATATACAATATATAAATGTCTATGTGCGTAAATCTATATAGTGACGGAATAACATACTTCTTGATGTTAACATAATTCCGCATTTATTTGCTGCTGCTGTCTGCCACAAAACAATATGCGGGCGAGGGTTTAGGGTTTACTAGCTAGGGTTTAGGGTTTACTCGCTAGGGTTTAGGGTTTACTCGCTAGGGTTTAGGGTTTACTGGCTAGGGTTTAGGGTTTACTCGCTAGGGTTTGGGAGTGGTAAACCCTAGAGCCGCACCTACAAACCCTAAACCCTAGCGTAGACCCTAAACCCTTAATCCTACAACCTAAACCCCGAAACTGCCCCAAACCCTAAACCCTAGCCCAAAGCATAAACCCTAAACCCCTGAAACCCCGGAACTGCCCCAAACCCTAAACCCTAGCCCAAAACCTAAACCCTAAACCCTTAAAAACCAGATGCAGATGCAGCGTTTGCCATTACTATTGGAATCTTTAAAATAAATAATTAAAAAATCGAAGCAGCAGCAGCTGCTGCGGAGACCGAGGTGTACGTACACCTCAGTGTGGCTCCCCTACTGCTGCTCACTCTTTGACTAAATCCCTCGAAGCAGCAGCAGCAGCAGCAGCTGCTGCTGCTGCTGCGGCTGCTGCTGCAGGTACTGTGCGGTGCCAGCAGCAGCAGCAGCAGTCGCCGCTGCTGCAGCTACTGGTGCTGCAGTGGCAGCAGCAGCTTTGACTAAATCCCTCGAAGCAGCAGCAGCAGCAGCTGCTGCTGCTGCTGCTGCGGCTGCTGCTGCAGGTACTGTGCGGTGCCAGCAGCAGCAGCAGCAGTCGCCGCTGCTGCAGCTACTGGTGCTGCAGGGGCAGCAGCAGCAGCGGCTGCTGCTCTTGCTGCAGCAGCAGCAGCAGCATCACAGCTGCAGAAAGGATGGCCATATGGGTACAGCAGCAGCACAAGCCAAGCTAGGGGGCCCCACAGGGGGGCCCCCGGGGGGCCCCCCGAAGGGCCCTCCAAAGGGGGCCCCCGGGGGGCCCCCATCTGTCACTGCGGAGTCTGTGCTGTGCCCTAAACCAAAAAAAGGGGTTTCTTGCAGCTGCTGCTTCGCCTGCTGCAGCAGCGGGCTGGCAGCAGCAGCATCAAATGCTTCTGCAGGTCCCGCTGCTGCTGCTGCTGCTGCTTCTGCTGCTGCTGCTGCTGCTGCTGCTGCTGCTTGGGGGCTTTCTGGGTGTCCGAAGTGGGGCAGCCGCAAGCTGCTGCTCGTTGGGTCTTCCGCTTGACGCAGCAAAGGAGCTGGCTGCTGCTGCTGCTGCTGCTGCTGCTGCAGCAGTGCTTCAGGCCACTCCTGCTGCTGCTGCTGTTGCAGCAGCAGCGGGTCGTGCTGCAGCAGGGGCAGCTGCGCGCTGCTGTGGCTACTGCAGCACCCTGTGGCCGGCAGGTTAGCTGCAGCAGCAGCCAGCGGTGGAGCACCTTCTAACTGGACTGTTGTTGCTGCTGCTGCTGCTGCTTCTGCTGCTGCTGCAGCTGCCGGTGCTGCTGCTGCTGCTGTGGGGGCCGCTGCGGCTGCCTTTTTTTCGGCAGCAGCAGCTGCTGCTGCAGCTGCTGCTATGTCAGCAAACGCTGCTGTCTCTCTCGTGCTTCCAGCAACACCAGCAGGTGCAGCAGCAGCAGCAGCAGCAGCAGCAGCAGCAGCAGCAGCAGCAGGCTCTGCTGCACTGGGTGGCTGCAGGGCGCCCTGGATCTTTTGGATCTTTTGAGATATTCTCCGCACGCTTTCTTGTAGCTTTTCATCTGCTGCTGTTGCTGCAGCTGCAGCTGGGTCTGCTGCTGCTGCTGCTGCTGCTGCTGCTGCTGCTGCTGCTGCTGCTGGAATAGAAGCAGCTAAGTTTGCTGCTGGCTCCCACGCATATAGTGGCTGTGAACTAGCAGCAGCTGGGAGCACACTCGTGTGGGGCAGAAACTGCTGCTGCAGTTGCTGCTGCTCAAATTGCTGTTGCTGCTGCTGCAGTTGTTGCTGCTGCAATTGTTGTTGCCTCAGTTGCTGCTGTTGCTGCTGCTGCTGCAGCTGTTGCTGCCGCATTCGCTGCTCTTGCTGCTGCTGCTGTAACAGCACCTGCATTTGTGAAAAAAGCACTTGCTGCTGTGAGGGTAGTCCTTGCTGCAGCACCTGCTGCTGCAGCACCTGCTGCTGCGGCTGCTGCTGCGGCTGCAGCACCTGCTGCTCCTGCGGCTGCAGCACCTGCTGCTGCTGCGGCTGCTGCTGCAGCACCTGCTGCTGCTGCTGCTGCTCTGCTTGCTGCTGAGGTTGAAGCAGCTGCAGCGGAATGTCGCCGGCAGAGCAGCAAGCACGCGTGCCGCAGCAGCAGCCGCACGCAGCAGCTAGAACAGGAGTAGCAGCACCCTGCTGCTGCTGCTGCTGCTGCTGCTGCTGCTGCTGCTGCCTCTGCTGCTGCTGCTCTATAGCAGCAACACGCCCCTCTAGCTGCTGCAGATGAGCCCTGATGTCTTCTATTGCTGACTGCACAGCCGCAGGCAGCTGCAGAGACGAAGCATTCTGCAGCAGCAGCAGCAGCAGCAGCAGCAGCAGCAAAACAGCAACACAACAGAGCAGCACTCGATTCATTAATGGCAGGAAAAGGAAATCCAGCGGCAGCAGCAGCAAGCACAGAGCAGCAGCAGCAGCATGCATCCAGCAGCATCAGCAGCAGCCGCATGCATCCAGCAGCAGCAACAGCAGCATGAGTGCGGCAGCAGCAGCATGCATGCAGCAGCAGCGTGCATGCAGTAGCAGCAGCAACAGCATGTATGCAGCAGCAGCAGCAGCAGCAGCAGCAAACATACGGAAGCAAGGTTTTGAATAAGTGTAGAGACAGCGAGCAGCAGCAGCTGCTGCTGCTGCGGCTGCGGTTGCTGCTGCTGCTGGTCTCTGCTCTCAGGGCGTCTGCTTTTTAAGCTGCTGCTGCTGCGGCTTCCGAAAGGGATAGCAACCTTCCTTGCTGCCTGCTCTAGAGCTGAACCCGTCTGCTGCTGCTGCTGCTGCTGCTGCTGCTGCTGCTGCTGCTGCTGCTGCTGCTGCTTGAGCGCTCCCCCAGCGGCAGCGCCCCTGTGCTGCAGCAGCGAGCCCGCGAACTGCGTCTCCGCGGCCCTTTGCACCCCGCCCACCTGCTGCTGCTGCTGCTGCTGCTGCTGCTGCTGCTGCTGCAGCGTTTTGGCCTTTTTTTTGTGCTGCTGCACCTGGTTGTGAATGGCCCGCACTATTGACAGCAAGTCGCAGCAAAACAAAATTTTCCTTTCTCCAAATCCCGCGGGACTCAAAAACTGCGAGGCCGTCAGACACGGCCGGTACAGGCACTCTTGCCGCTGCAGCAGCAGCAGCAGCAGCAGCAGCAGCAGCAGCAGCACAACACACGCCAGTCTTGCTGCTGCTGCTGCGGGTGCTGGGGGGACGGGCGGGACCGGTGCAGCAGCAGCGGCAGCAGCAGCGGCAGCAGCAGCAGCAGCAGCAGCAGCAGCAGCAGCAGCAGCAGCAGCAGCAGCAGCAGCAGCAGCAGCAGCAGCAGCAGCAGCAGCAGCAGCAGCTCACTAGGAATTTCCAAACTTCTTCCACGAAGCGTTTGTCAGACTTGAAGAGAAAATGGAAGCCTCTGCTTTGCAAAAAGAAATTAACATTTGCGCTGAAGTCGCAAACAGCAAAATGGAGAATAGGCAGCAGCAGCGGGAGAGCCCCTGCTGCTGCTGCTGCTTGCTCGCTGCTGCTGCTGCACCACTCGCTGCCTGCTGCTGCTGCTGCTGCAGCGGCGGGGTAGTGCATGCGCCGCAGCAGCGACCGCAGCTTCCCCAAAGTGCCCGCAAAGTCCCCCACAGCTGCTGCTGCAGCAGCAGAAGCTGCTGCCGCTGCTGCTGCTGCGCCTGCTGCTGCTGCTGCTGCTGCTGTTGCAGCCCCGTCTTCGGCGCTCTCGCTGGGGCAGCAGCCGCTGCTGCTGCTGATCGCGCATGCAACTTCCGCCGCCATGTTGCTGCGGGCCACTGCAGCAGCAGACACCCAAGAGGCACCTCTGCTGCAGCAGCAGCAGCAGCAACAGCAGCAGCAGCAGCAGCAACAGCAGCAGCAGCAGCACTATGAAGCCAGCGCCAAACAAAGGTCTAAAAAGCAAGCTGGTTGCAGCTTGGGTAACGGGCTAATAAATCCGAATTTAATTTCCCTGATGTTCCTTCGCTTCGCAATGCCTTCAACATCCTGCTGCAGCAGCTGCTGCTGCTGCTGCTGCTGTTGCTGCTGCTGCTGCTGCTGCTGCTGCTGCTGCGTGCCAGCTCGAGCTGCGGCGAAATTAAGCTGCACAAAAAACGAATTTCGCAGTTTAAATAAAAGAAAGAAACGCATGCAGCTGCGGCTGAGTCCGGCGTGTGCGGCGGGCGGCGCGGAGGCCCCGGGGCCCCCCGTCGGCAGTCGGTGAGGGGCTTCGTGCATGCGAAATGGATTAAAATAAATGGAAATTAACTTAAAAATTAATTAAAACAAATAAATTAACTCAAATTTCCATTTATTTGCCTGCTTTCCGCCTCCTCCGGCCTCCCGCGGCAGCAGCCACGCCGGCTCGGTCTGCTGCAGCAACAGCTGCTAAGACCCCCTCGAACTGCGTCCCAAGGGAAAATAAAAAGGAATTAAAGACAAATTAAAGACAAAAACGCAAAAATAAATTAAAAGAATAACATTTAATGCAGCGTTTTGAATTTCTCCGTCCCGAGGTGCGGATACACCCCAGCGCGCGGAGCTACGCCGCCAGGTGTCTAGACACCTCAGCAGGTCGTTTGAAAAAAGATAAACGACAAAAAAGAAATAAAAAGGAAAATGGAAATAAATAACAAATAAATGCAAATTAATAATGATTAAATGCCAAAATAAACTCTTTTTCTGCTTTTGAAGGCCCATTATTTTCAGAGAAAAGTACTTTTCTTATTTTCCATTTTTTACCACGAAATAATAAAATAAAACGCCCCGCAATAATACCGGCGAATTTAACAAAAGCAGCTATTGTTAGTAAAGTCCTAAATATTATTATTTTTGACTTTATTTATTTCTCTTACTTGAATTAGTTTTGTTTTCCGATTATTGTATTTTTGTAATTTTTTGCATTAAGTGACAAAGACACTTATTGCTGCTGCTGCTGCTGCTGCTGCTGCTGCTGCTGCTGCTGCTGCTGCTGCTGCTGTTATTTGTCTTTTATAGCCACTTTTTTTTCAACAAGCTTTTAATTATAATTTGCATTTTTATATTTAAGCAAAAGACAGAAGCAGACTATTTTCATTCTTTTATTTACTCTGAATAAGTTTTTAATTTTAATTTCTATTTTGCATTTTATGAAAAAGAAAACAAAATTTTTATTTTTTTATTTTTATTTTTTTACTCAGAGGGGCCAACGCAGCAGCTGCGCGCGGAGACGAAAGAAATAAAATTAGAATTAAAAAATCAAATTAAAAAAAACAACAAGTGCTGCTGTTTACTGCAGCAGAATTAAACAATTAAAAAACAATTAAAACAATCAAAACAATTAAAAAAATAAAAAGGAAAAAATTAAAAATAAAAAATAAAAAATGACAACAGCAGCAAATGGCAAAAAGACGACGGAGGAGAAGTTGGGCTTGAGGTGCACGTACACCCCAAAGTGCAGAAAAGGGAATTTAAAATAAAACTTTTATTTTTATTTTATTTATTTCAATTTTCGTTTTTTCTTTTGTTTATTTAATCAAATACTACTCAGCCACTGTCCTACTTTTCATATTATTATTTATTTGCCTTCTATTTATTTATTTATTTATTTATTTACTTATTTATTTATTTATGCAAAATTAAATCAATTAATTGTTTTTGTTGTTTTTCATCATATCTCTATTTAATTACTCCAAATTAAATCAAGTAATTATTTGATTAGTATTTTCGTTTTATATGTATTTGTCTATTCCTTTATCTACCTATTCAAAATTAAATCAATAAATTTGTTATTATTCATATTTTTTTCTATTTATTAATTTCTTTATTTAATTATTCAAAATCAAATTAGTTAATTGAGTAATTAATTATTTTTAATATTTTCTGTTTATTTATTTCTCTATTTAGTGATTTGAAATTTAACAAATTGATTACTTGATTTTAATTTCTGATTCATATATTTTTTTATTTCTTTATTTATTTGTTATTTGTTTAGATCATCTAATATTTATCTCTTTATATAATTATTTAAAATTATATCGACTAATTAATTATTATTTTCCTTCACTTTATTTACCTCTTTACAACTTACTTATTTAAAATTATATCAATTAATTAATTCTTATTTTCTTTCACTTCATTTATTTCTTTATCTAATTATTTAAAATTATATCAATTAATAAATTTGGTTAATTTAATTATTTAAAATTATTTCAATTAATTAATTACTATTTTCTTTCAAGCGCCTTTCAGGCAGCTGCTGCTCTCCTTCTTTTGACGCTTGCACTATACTTATCAATTTGTTTTCTTAATTAATTAATTAATTAACTAATTAATAGATGTATATAAATAGCATAATTATGAATTAGTCACTTAATTAATTAATTGATTGATTAATTAATTAATTAATTAATCAATTAATATATGTATATAATTCGTATAATTAATCAATTAGTTAATTAATTAATTAATTAATCAATTAATATATGTATATGAATCATAGAATCAATTAATTAATCAATAATTAATCAATTAATTAATTAATCAGTATTTAATCAATTAATTAATTAATTAATTAATTAATTAAATGGTTAATTAAATTTTATTTTATGTAATTTATCTTTTATTTTCTTTTTAGGCCCCAAATTCGTTTTCGCTGTTCATTCCGCAACACAATGCTTGACGTGTTGCGGAGAAGAGGTTGGAAGGAAACGGACAGGCAAATAGAGAAAAAAGCAAATAAATAGCAAATAAATGGCAAATAAAGGATAAATAAACAAAAAATAATAATAATAAACGATAAATAAACAATAAATAAACTATAAATAAACAAATAGAATTAAAAAAGAGTCAAAAAAAGCCAAAAAAGGAGAAATCTCGAGTGCCCCGTTCGGGTGTATCGACAGCTGGCTCCTCGCGGGTGAAACCTGAAAATGTGCAATTTGGCATTTTTTTGGCCATTTTTAAATTAAATTGAAAACTAACTTCAAATAAATAAATAGTTTGCAATTTCCGACCTCTAGATATCTATATTTCCCCCTCAATTTGCATTTATTTCCCCCATTTCCCCCCCCTCTGCCGCTGCCACAGCGAAACTGACTGGGACTTCTTCTGGTGCGACAAAGACTGGATTTCCGAAACTTTCGACAGATTTCGTTTTCAGCCCCAACAAAGAATTAACCATTTCCGCAACCACCAGCAAGTAATTCCCACAGCTAGCTAGCTAGCTAGCTAGTTAGCTAGCTAGCTGGCTAGCTGGCTAGCTGGCATTTAGCTGGCTAGCTGACTGCGTCTAGCTAGCTAACTGGCTGCAGTTAGCTAGCTAGCTGGCTGCGTCTAGCTAGCTAACTGGCTGCAGTCAGCTAGCTAGCTGGCTGCATATGGCTAGCTAGCTGCTGAGCTATCTAGCTAGCTGCCGTTTAGCGAGCTAGCTAGTTGTCTATTTTAGCTAGCTAGCTGCCTGTTTAGCTAGCTAGCTGCTGAACTAGCTAGCTAGTTGCTGATGTGCCTAGCAGCCTAGACAATCACTCAAACAGCTGGCTAGCTGCCTAGGCTGCTAGCTGCCCATATGGCTAGCTAGCTGCCTATTTAGCTAGCTAGCTGCCCCCGTCGCTTTTTCTTTAGCTAGCTGTGTAGCTGTTTGCCTAGCCTAAAGCAGCAGCAGCAGCAGCAGCAGCAGCTACACTACAACTGCAGCAGCAGCAGCAGCAGCACTACCAGCAGCAACAGCAGCTGCAGTATAGGAGCAGCAGCAGCATCAGGAGTAGCATCACTAGCAGCAGCACTACAGCAGCAGCAGCAGCAGCAGCAGCAGCTTCATCAGCAGCAATACAGCAGCAGCAGCAGCAGCAGCTTCATCAGCAGCAATACATCAGCAGCAGCTGCAGCAGCAGCAGCAGGGGGCTTTTGGGTGCTTTTGGGGTGTACGTACAGCTGACGAGGAAGGATCTGCTGATTCGGAATTTGAGAAGAAAGAAAAGAGAATTGGAAAGAGAAGGAAAATCCCAAGAAGCAGAAAGGCAATTAAATGTTTTAAATTAAATTTTATTTTTAATTATTTATTTTTAATTAATTAGTTTGAATTAATTGTTTTATTTAAATCCCAAGAAGCAGAAAGGCAATTAAATGTTTTTAAATTATATTTTTATTTTTAATTATTTATTTTGAATTAATTAGTTTGAATTAATTGTTTTATTTAAATCCCAAGAAGCAGAAAGGCAATTGAATTAAAATTATATTTTTAGAAATCTAATTTGTTTTGAATTGTTTAATTTGAATTAATTCTTTAATTCAAATCCAAAGAAGCAGAAAGACAATTAAAATTTAAATCCTTTTTGAATGTTATTTGTTTGATTTAAATTTAATTTAAATTTATTGTTTAATTTAAATTTGTTCTTAGTTTATATTTATTTTTCAATTTAATCTGAAGAAACAGAAAGGCAGTCAAATGATAAATCATTTTTTGTTTTGATTTTTTTTAATTTGAATTAATTGTTTAATTTGAATTAGTTGTTTGATTGGAATTAATTATTTAATTTGAATTAGTTATTTAGTTTGAATTAATTGTTTAATTTAAATTAGTTGTTTAATTTGAATTAATTATATGATTTGGATTAATTGTCAAATTTGAGTTGCTTTTTTTAATTCGCATTAACTGTTTTAATATTGTTTTGATTTAAATTAATTGCATTAATTTAGATTTATTATTTTAATTTAAATTACTCATTTAAATTCAAATTATTTATTTAAATTTAAATAATTTTCCAAAATTAATTATTTCCTCGTTCTTTTAAAATTTAAAATTT